ATAATGACACCCAGCTCTGATGACGTCCATCCTATGATCGACGAAAGCTCAGCACGTTTTCACCCGAAACGAGGAAGGAAGTCCCATGGACTGCGTCAATATGAATATCGTATAAAATCCAAACGGCTGCAGTACGAGATTCATCCGTCCTCATCTGGTGAGATTGACTAACGAAGCTCTTCCTTATGCACTTTCATAAAAAAAAGGTCCTCCTAATAATATTTAGTACTTTCAAATAAGTAGGACAGAAATATAAATTTATCTAAAATTGAAGGGCTAGGATAATCAAAAAAGCTAAGTAATTAAGCAAACATATGATCTTATGTGATCTGAATATCATCAACTCAAGCCTTGGATAGTAAACTATCATTAACTTAATTTTAATTTAATTCTCGTGATTATGAAACATAACAATAAGCAACTCCTTCAAGACTGCTGATTTTCGAAGGCTAGAAAGTTCAGAACAGATTTAAAATATTTGAAACATATATGACTCAAATTTATATGCAAAGTAAAGAATTATGATAATAACCTAAGTATTATGATTTAAATAAAAAATAAGATAAATAAATAGACAATATCTTACCTTATTTAAGGAGATAACAAAATATTTCAGAAATAGTTGTGATCGAAAGGGATCACTTAATAAAAATGTGATACGTATCGTAGAGAGTTTCGCCTATCATACTTCATTTAACGAATGATGGGTATATTCACACAATAAATGAGAGATAGATAATTGCACAAAGCAGTCCTAGTGGTCCTAATGATATGGCACTTAACCCCGTCACATGAGCAAAGAATATTCTAGATTTTCTTAGATGTACACAATAAATATTTAGTGACAAGACATCCCACAAAATCACGCATGGCACTATGAAAAAGATATTAAGTTATATAAATAGGCACGTAACATTGGCTAATTATGATATCCTGAGGGGTAGTTTTAGACAACTTTTGTATAGAGTAACTGAAAATAGTTATGATATACATTTACTTAATTACTAGATAAATAATGAGGGTATTTAATTAGGCGTATCGTAATAAATGATGCGATTAAACATAATTATAAATAAATATAAGACAAACCATTATACATCCATATTTGGAAAAGTATAAACAAACCTTGTCCATTTGTCGCCACCAATCTCGGACCATACGGGCAATAAAAGCACACATTTTTCTGGTTCTCATAGTTTCTTCACGTTCTGCCTTAAACGAGCGCTCAGTCTTTTCTCTGTAGGCCTTGAGAGCTGCATATGCTAACTGGGATGAATAAAAGAGATGCATATAATTAAAGAACAATTTTGATTGAAAATGAAACTAAATGAAATAAAATATACCTTTTTGGCAGAAGCTTTCTTCCACTGTCGTTCTCTGGCGTAATCTTCAGCTAGCCATCGTAGCTCAGCAAAAAGATAACTAGAATGAGTACGCTGAAGTTCTGGTTCATTTGGAGGTGCGAGAGCGGACATACTAGGGGCATCGGCACCAGGTAAATTCTCTCCCAGAGCATCTAAGGACCAGAGGCCCAGATTTTTGAGTTCCGAAATACGCTTTAGAACAGAAACCTCTTCCTCTGCAAGACGCATTATTTTTGCTTCATCTAGGTACCTCTGAAAGACAAAAATTGCTAGTATAAACAATTTCCATCAGTTGTGAATGCAGCAAAAGCATAACATTGCAAAGTAGAAGAAGCGATTAGGCTTTTAAGTCAAAATACGTGGTCATTCACAATATCTAAAGTGACAAAAATAATGACACAGAACCAAGCATATGATAAAAATTCCAAAAATAATACGAATTAGTTAGCAACTTACATCATCATCATCATCATCAGATTCAGGATCGCCGATCGCATTAAGTGAACACATTTGATTCTTGGTCTTGATGGATGAATATTCAGAAAGAGGAAAGAAGTTTTCGTGGGATATTTTCCCAGACACAAAATCCTCGACAGCTTTTAAATCCTCTTCATCCAAGTGGCCAGATCTTAGGGCAAGCATCAAGTCATATGGCTTGGCCTGCCTCCACTTGTACAGATCGATGAGCAAAGAACCACTGTGAATAAAGCTTAATTCAGATAGGTCTTCATGATAATGTGTAATTAGATCCTTTAAACGGTCTTGAATAAAATTAATTATATTTTCTCGAGCTTTTTTAACGTCCTTTACAGCAGATGTACCGGAAGAAACCATAATTTCTTTGGTATCCCTTAACTGAGGACAAAAATGTTCAATCCTATCCAATTTCGCCTCGTTTGATGGACTAGTGATGTTATTATAGTAATTAAAACGACAGCAATTCGCAAGTGGGTCGGTATTTTCGCTCTGAGAAAGTACTGCATGACTTTTATGGAGAAAAACAGGCTCAAGAAAGCTTTCCTCATCACGAGATCCAATAAAAAGTGTCATCTCTGGCTGAGTATTATTTGCTACGTGGTTGGAATCATTGGGGGAAGCATCACCCATCAGACAGTAACCTAAAGTGCAAAATAGACCTATGAAAAGCATTTAAAATTCATAAAATTAATTTATAAAGTCTTATAAGTGCTTAAAAATAGCTACAGAAAGTGAGAAACGAAAGAAGTGGATGTAAAAATACCAAATAAAGAAAATCAAAAAATCAAAGAAATCACCAAATAAAAGAATTCAAATAGGTATTCATTTTGTCTTAAAATTCGAAATAAAGCTTTTCAAATACTTACCTTCGTTCTAAAGACAATTTCTAACGAATAAAAAAGTAAAATATTGGTTGCTCCAAATCACGTTACGAATAAGGCTGCATTGCTCGATTTTCACAATAGACAAAGTATTAATGATTTTCAAAGACTATTAACAATATTCCTCAAAAAAACCTATTCATTTTTTTAAAAATTTAGGATTACAAGATTTAATTAATTTTTTTAATATTTTTTTAAATAACGATATCATTACAAATATTTATGCTTTGCAGTTGCAGACACTCGATTACTACTCCTTTACACTTGTCGATTTTAGATACGAAGAGAAACATAGTTTCGATAAATCGCCTGA